TTTCATTATTATAAAAATGTTTTCGAGTTTTTTTTTATTAAAGTATCTTAAATGTACATAATATCAGTGCAATTCACATTACCCTAGTGTGTTATTAACAGACACCATAGATGTAATGTAAGTAATATTCTCCTAAAACGTACGTGTAAATACATGTTTAAATAAAAAAAAAACCCGAGAAATTTTAATCTTATTAATAGATACATATAAAATTATTTTTTTACTTATTACAAAAATGTTAATCTTGCTTTGTTAAAATCAGTTATAACAAAGCAAGGTTTACAAATATAATAAGCCTACGCGGTGCGTTTATAACTGTTCAAATGTTTTATTAATAAAAGAATAGTGTTCATAGCAATTTTATTTCCCGTCGAGAATTGTGATCAAGCTGATTTAATCTCTTCTAAACATATTAAATTTGAAGATATACATATTATAGACTCGAATAAATATGTATATAAAATGAATCCAAAAAAAATACAAACAAGAACATCACTAGCAATTTATTAGTGGGCCGTACGGGCTCGCAGCCCAGTAGCCATGGCAGTGTACTTCAAATGAAATGGTTAAATAAATAAATATCGCCCACACTTTGGTCGTCGCTTCCCATCATCTGATCTTCAGTCACAATGCGTAGTGTCTGACTGTGTGTCTGTTATTCAACCACGTCAACGCAATATTATAACATTCTTTTTAAAATCAATTGACTTACTACGAGCAGTTTTTTCGTTTAATCGAAGTAAATCTCAACTTTTTCTCTTCGTAAAATAAAATAAATCTTATATTGTATTCTTTACCTAAATCATTTTCATGTATATTGTTTCTCTTTTCTTTATACTTCTAACGTCGAAGATTAAATAGAGATGACTGGTTTGTTGTCAATATACCTACAGTTTATTTTCTGCAATTCAAATAAATATGAAAGTATAATACATATTAAATTGTTAATTGCAATATTTGAACATGAAAATTAATTACAAGAAGAGATTTTATTAATGACTATATAATAAACCATAGGAATAATATTTATGCACTTGGAACGAAATTGTCCCGTATAAAAATCAGTTTTTATAATAATATATTAGTAAATTAAAAAAAAAACATTACAACAAATATTATTATGTCCAAACTTACACACATATCATAATAATGTACGAGTATATTACTTTTATAGGTACAACATAAAGTTTTCCCTTACACAAGTCGTATATTAAAAACTAGCTATTTTCCCGCGACATCATCTGCGTAAATTATAGCCTGTTACCCGCATATGATGTGGCTTCGTGTCGGTGGAAGAAATTTTATGATCGAATTAGCATTCTCGAATTATCCTTTTAAAGAAACAAAGTTTAATTTTTTTACCTCTTATTAAGGTTTCTAGCTTTCCTCCAGCGGCTTCGCCATATACCAAATTCCATCAAATCCGTTCAGTAGTTTTTGCGTAAAGAAGTAATAAACATACCAACATACAAAGATTATTTACTCCTGTGTAAACAGCAAGAAAACAATAATTAATTGAAATTTAATAGTGAACAATAGTTACTATGGTATCTTTATACAATCGAATAAAAATAAAAAAATTCACTCCCAGTATCAATCCTCCTTTTGCAGTTTTTCGGGATAAAGTATAGCCTATGTCCATTGCATATTATGTAGCTTACCGCAAGTGAAAGAATTTTTAAATTCCGTCCAGGACCCATTGTCCGTTCATTGAAAACAAACAAACCTTTCTTCTTTATAATATTAATATAGACGTACAGCTCTCCATAATTAGTAAAATTTTAATTAAATATGAAATTTTTAAGCAAAGTTAATAAACAAACAAAACGTAGTTAGTTTATATCAGTATAATAATTATAATCACTGCTAATTTCTATTCAAATATTTATTTTTTCTTTGTATTAAGTAACGCAATGATAGACATTAGTGGTCCAGTAAAAAAAAACTTGTCAGTGGGTCACTGCCGGAGTGGCTATTTTTATGGCAGCAGTAAACCACCCGCGTAGTCCCGGGTTCGACGTTGCTCGCTAAAGACACGATAAAAAGTGAATGGAATAAAAAACATGGCGTTGTCTGTCGTTGTATGATGAAAGTTCACACATCTATTGTTTAAAAGTACATTGATGCTCATATAATATGCTATAGACATTTAAAGTGAATTCTTCTTTAAAATTGTATGCTATTTTGGATTGTGGAATTATTATAGTCAGACAATAAAATATATTCATTACTATTGAAAATTTTGATTTACTAACGTAAACAAAAAATGCTTAATATACAAAACACATGGAATTTATTTGTAAACAAAAAATATGCGTTTAAAAGCAAGGCTACCTTCAAACAATACCCACTTATTGGAAATAATTATTGCATAAAAATTATTCAATGTTTAACAGTTTTATGCATTGAAAAATTAAAATTAACAGTTTTATTTAAAGAGGGGGTAGTGCGCGATATATATAAAAAACAAATACCTATTTTATTGTTTTTAAATTGCTTCTTAGAAGCCAACTTTCTTTGTTAAAATACTATTTTCGTTTCATTGTTGTTAGTACTTTATTTACATGGCACCCAACTAGCTAGAAACATTTTGTGTTGAATTAGCAAACAGCAGAGACTTGAACGTGTAATAAAATCTTCAGGGTAAAACGTAAACTGCAATCAGCGAGACATAAACATCGTATGTTTTATACATTTTTGAGGTCCATTTCGTTCATTTGGAAGTCTTCTTAAAAGTGATATTTTATAAACTTCAATAATAACTTTATTGCTGGGTTTATACGCGATAAAATAAAAAACTACTGAATGATTTTCATACAATTTTCACTAACGGTTTCAGTTTATTTCATGGAGCAGATAACGATGAATGATTCATTAAAGTTTAACGTAGATTGTCTTAAATTACTATGATGGTTGGAGATTTCTAGAAAAATGGTGCTAAATGAAAACTTATATCTAATTTGCACCAGTGCAATGTCAAAACGGGGAGTTACTATTTACATTAATATTGCAAAATTTCTACATCTAATTTAATAAGACGACGTAATATAATAATTCAACCTAACATAATATTGTTTTGTTTTAATTGAAGCGTATTAGTTTAGTAGTAAAGAGTTAATTTAAACATACCTATGTATGGCTCAATTTATTTTATATAACTACAGAACCAAAGTTACTTAAATTTAAAGATTTTTATTCTACCGTCCGCAAGTCTAAAGCAAATTAGCACCGACACGTGTTAACCCCTTTGTGCGTTTTATTATTTTACGATGTTTCTGTTAGAGCCGCATTACACCGGAATAGACTAATGCGCAAGCCGACAAAAGTGAAAATATCGGGCAGTAAAAGTATTCGATGTGTCACCGATGCCGAATTATTTTATTGGTAGCACCCCGGAAATTTCTTTGCTGTCTTTAAAAGGGTTGAAAGTAGGTAAGTATTTATTTTTTATATTCGTAACTTTACGAAGCATTGTTATATAGACAAAATTCATGATTTTATTTTAAACTTTTTGTATTTTAATAAGAACATATAAGGATTAAGATCACTGATAATTTTAAACACTTTTGAATAAACCATATTTTATATTATAAAAAATATCAAACTGGCAATTGAAGTGCACAATTTATCAACAGAATAATAACAAAAACGCCAAAAATCAAGTTTCTTATTTGTTTCAAATAATAATATTTATTTTATTGTTTAATGTGAAAATTCAAGAAGACGGACAGCGAAGTCTTTTTAATATTAGTAAAACTCTTTGGGTATGGAACCCAAAAATTCAAATTGTTTTTACTTGTAGTTTGTTTTTGAAATATTACGAGGTTAAAGAAAACGCAAGGAAATTGTAAATACTTAATTTTATTAACTCTGAAACTAACAGATGATATATATGTATCCTATCTAGATTCGAGTAATATGACAATAATATATTTATCCTACAAGAATGAATTTAGCTCGACTATTACGTGTTTTTAGTTATAACACCTTAATAAGCTCATTTTGGCGTGCGTATATGATTGGCTTATAATAAACTTATCTATATAAATATACACTTTTATGAACTTGCTATGATTATCGATTAATATACATTTTCGAAACATACATAAACTTGCATGTTACAAAATAAATCTTTTAAAATACCTATACACAACTATTTTTACAATTGTTTAAATAATAACAACTACGTTTGCATAAATAAAATAAAATAATTTTTTAATTTGATTTTATTTGATATAGAAAAAAAATATTTTAATTATTTTAGTGTTATATTTTATTAATCTTGCTTTCAAATAGGTTATTGAATAAACTATAAAATATAAGGCTAAAATTAAATGTGTCAAATTTTCAATCTTATCACCATTGAATTAATGTTTATAATCTATTATAGTAATTTGACATATTTGGTATAACCCGATAGGTTGTTACGTGGTTATTACTGTACTTTATCGAAAAAAAATATGTCAAAATGTGATCCTAATAATTACTTACGTTATGGACATATTATGTTTTAAGAAATTTTCACATTGTAAGACAAAAATAAGAGCAATGTGAGTTTTTAATTTGATTTAAATAAAAAAATCAAAGACCACTATGTATGTACCTAGCATAATAAATAATATTAAATAGGTACCACCAAAATTTTCTTAATTCTCACACTCTTAAAGACTGCCAACTCTACAAATTGATTAACGTGGTTAAATTGAAGTTAATAATAATTAATTTATAACATTATTGTTATTTTATAGAAATTACTGTACTTTCATTCGTATATACACCGCAATAGATACTTATGATTGCTGGTTTTTCAATTCAATTTCGTATTCAGTCAAATTATTTTATAATATCATGCTTAAATCTTCAAGGCCCCAAAACGAAATAAGATTCAACTAAGGCTAATAAGCCTAAAAGTCAAGTATAAAGGTCATTACAGATTGGCTCAAGTAGGTGACATACGACAATTCGTATGCAAATATTGACATTGCAAATTCTTTTTTTTTGTGGACAGTAAGCATTTTGCTAATAAACAATTCACCTAGTGAAATTAATATAATCTGTGCTCGATCATCATATACGCCTGCCAAAAATAGTTTTACTTTGCTAAATTTACACTTGCATATAAATATATGTTTCGAACGGAATGTGTAGGAGATGTGGTAGGAACCTATCTTACACCAAACACCATAATATAGTAAATATACAGTGTGCCCTAAGCGTTGCGATATAAAGAAACAGGGGCAAAAATAGGTAAGTACATAAAAACTGTACCCCGATCAGTAATGATAATTGAAAACAATTTAAAATTTCGCTGATATTTTTTTATGTTATATTCGGTTATAACAGTTAAAACAGAGATTCCTGCCCTTTATAAATCTATATATTCGAACCACATATCCCGTTTCGTTTTACCCAACCTCGCGCGGACACTGCATTTTGAAACTTAGACGCTATATATACAGAACTTATTCTAACGCGATGGTCAATAGTACTATAATTCCATTTCACCTATCTAAGTATATTATATTTATACACGTTTGTTACACAACAACATTGCACAGTCCGACGGTCCACGATATGACGTCACTTCACACTCCGCAGTTAGCCAACTCGATTCAGAATTAGAAAAAAAATTATCAACACGTGAAACTAAATTTATTATAAGGAAACATTGTTATAAATCGAGTTTAAACAAGTCTTTCGAGCGTTGAAGTCTTTTCCATGAGACTAAATAACTTTCAGAAATTTTTCCTTCTTAAATAAATACATTTTACCTTTACTATTTAAAGAATATGCAATATGAGGATGATTATTACTTGTATTTAAAACGTATTTTAATATTATTCGTACTTCTTCTAATTTAAGTTATAAATTCTGGTTGTAAAGACTCAATCGATAAAAATATAAAATTGTTACAAATTAAGGTATTTATAGTACAACATAAAATATTTTCGATGTTCCGAATAGTAAATTATAAATTAAAATAACGCATTCTATTGCAGTTGATAATGCCTAAATTACAAATTGTTATAATGGAATTTGTGCAGTATTTTTTAAATAAAATACATACAATGTTTCTTTGAACATTAACATCTGATTTATTTATTATTTAAAAATCGTTTGAGCCTTAATCTATTGATTTTTAACTTAGTAAAACAGTTAAAAAAGATATCTAATTATCCAAAAACTTTAAGTTTATTTTGCACATTGTTTTAAATAATACGGTTTTACTTTTTAAATTAAATATCAAATAATTAAACCAATAAACTCAACTACCTTAAAGTAACATTTAATAATAATTAGAGAAAATAAATATTTATTCTATTGTAAGATTATTTTATATAGCAATGCAACAAAGCTAGTGTTTATTTATTTAGATAATAAAATGGAAAAGACTTCAACGCGCATTAAACGAGGTATTTATCTAACGACCGACACGATGTACGATAACGTATCGTATTGATCGCATTAAGCAGGAGATTACCATTATCTGCCCGCTATGTATCAAATATATTTAGGCGGGAAAAGCTCCACTATAATAAAACTTTGGAAAGAAAAATAAAAAACGTTATACTTCAATTTATGTAAAGAAAAGAGTCGGTACGTACTTTGGAGACGATCTGAAGGACTACAAAAGACACTTTCGCGGAAAGCCTCTCGTGATTTAGGCCTACGCGACCCGCCCCTCCTAGTGCACTAGACATCTAACTACTAAAAACGCACAACTTACGGATTGTTTGGAAAGCAAATATTTACACAATTGTCCATCATCGGGGCGGGGAACTTCCAATATCACCAAAACATAGCTCACTCGGAGTCCAATATCAGAATGAGATTTTGTTGGTAGCGTGAAAGTTTGGGCGCGTCTACGCCAACGGGTATTGTCACAAGGGCGGCTGCGTGTGCGCATGGTGGTGATGGTATAGCGGCGACTGGTAATAGTTCTCGGCTGGCGCGTGCCCGTAGCCGTAGTTGACGTCGTACATCTTCAGGTCCGTTTTAGTATCCGCTGCGGGCAACAATCGAGTAATGCTGAAGGGATGAGGAGGCGGCGCGTATCCCGCCGGCTCCTGTTTAAGGCCCGCATAGTGCTCGAGCGCTAGCGGAGTATGCTCCGGTAAGCAAAGTTCAGACGCGACCTGCAGATGCGCCATCATTTCATCCCGCATCTCCTTCTCCTCAGCAGGCGCCTTCTCGTGTGTATGCTCTCCGCGCTTCTCGTGCCCGTGCGGCCCGTGTGGGTGCGCTGCTTTCTGTGCTTGTCGTATCGACTCCTTCTTCTCATCCTTAAAACGCTTTTGCCGCCGCAAGAAGCAGCCGTTCTCGAACATGTTCCCGCTGTCTGGGTGTAGTGTCCAGAACGAACCCTTGCCAGGCTTGTCCGGAGTGCGCGGCACTTTGACGAAGCAGTCGTTGAACGACAGCGAATGCCTAATTGAGTTCTGCCAACGTTGCTGGTTCTGTCTGTAGAACGGAAACAGGTCCATGATGAATTGGTAGATTTCGGAGAGCGTGAGCATCCGCGTGGAGCTGTTTTGGATGGCCATGGTGATAAGGGAAATGTAGGAGTACGGCGGCTTGGCGTGCGTGTAGGATCGGCGGTAGGTTTTATCGTTGCGCGCACGTTGTAATGCTGATGTAGGAGATGCAGCCTCCTGTTCCCGCGGCAGAGATCCGTAGGGGACGCCACCGCCGCCCATGCACGAAGCCATCGTGCTGGGCGGTGAATATCCCACTCCTGGGGATCCCATGCAGGATCCTCCGGCTACCATGTTGTTCGCGTACAGGTTCGGATAGGGTTGCGCGGGCATGCAGCCCATACCGTTCACGTAGGGTGGCGCGAGGCCCGGCGAGAGCGAGGACAGCGACGCCGACGTCGGCACGTCGCCGTACGACAGTTTCTGCGAGATCATGGCTAGCGCATCACCCGCGCGTGCACGCCGGCCAGGGGCAAACACTCGCACTGATTGAAAGAGTAAATAGAAGCTAGGGGCCCGCGCGCCCCTCCACCGATGAGCGGATTGGCGCGCGGCGGGGCGGAGTCTCTGAGCTCCGCCTCGGCTCTCCCCCCCTTAGCCCCTCGCCGCCCCTCCCTGCCCCGCGCCGTCCCCCTACGTAGGCCTCGCGCGTTCCCGCCGCTAATAATACCGCAGCTCGCAACGATAAAAACATGGAATAATCATAAGTGCGTTAGCTTCAATGTGTACTTGTGTAGTACGATGAATTTCATTCTGTCTCGGTTTCTATGTAGAAATTATGGTTATGTAGCGGCTTGAGTTCTCGTGAACTCGTTTAATGTGAATTTATATGCTAGTGTGTTTGTACGAGTGATAAATACCTAGATACAGTTTTCGATGCGAAAATATGATCAAACTCTTATTTTACAGTTAATATTTGGGATACGAATTTAAAAACTAAAATTATGAAACTTCGAAACTCTTGCGTTGAAAATTTACCATAGAATCATGTATAAAGTGATTTTGTGCTACTATATTCTTGACTTCTATCTTTAGTTATGTAGATATAATGTTATCAGTGTTTTAATGTCTAATTCATCCTTTTTTTCACAACATTAATTCTCTTAGGTATTGAAACAATCTACATAAACATCTTGAGAAGCTTACACCTCAAAATAACTTCTCTATTAACATATGAATATTTCTACTAATTTGTTTACATTAATTTAATTTTAGATGTAAATACAAAAGAAATGCATTTTATTAAGTGTAGATAATAGCATTAATTCTCGTAGCTGCTACAGTTGCTTGCTACGATATGCCGCCGGTCGATAAATTGCGCCTAACTAGTTTATATAAAGACAATTATTATTTTGATCTAACAAACAAAACTACAAAATCATTTATTTTTCATAATTATTACTTAAATAGATATATTTGCTAATAGATACTTGTGAACAACAAATAAGTTCAAACAGCAAAATATTTTTTGGCTAATATAAAAGGACTGACATACTCGTAAACAGTTTTACAAAAACCCTTAAACAATAAAGATACAAAAAGAATAAACAAAAGAAATATCTTAGGATCATATTGTTTGAATGGTAATCGCAAGCTTTATACATATTAAATGTATATTTGCCGGAAGCCTAATGCTGCATTTGTTGTTTCTTTGCTTCTAAAAAATCTTTTTTAATAAATTAAAAACAATCTCATCTCTGGCATCTAGTAATGGCAAATTTCAAGCATATTTATTTTAGCAAAGAAAATATTAAATTAAGAATACAGTAAAGATAAAAAACAATCATTGACAAAGTCATATTAAATGCAAATTTAAAAAAAATATTTTTATTGCATACTACAAAGGGCACAATACAAAGAAGCAAAATAAGAAAGAAGTATACAAAAGGCGGTCATAATTGCTAAGCAGCAATCTCTTGTAGGCAATCAATGTTGGAAAAAATAAATAATTAAATAAAAGACATGGGGGAAGTGGGTGCAAAGCGATAGTAATAATAAATAGATATATCTGGATACATAATCAATAGATGAATTAAGGCAATTAAAGTATTAAGAGTGTCAAGATAGTGATAGAAAGTAATTCTTCACTTGAGCAACAAAACAACCCAAACTACGAGGTCTCCTTGTTGTTTCTGGTAATGAGTTCCATAGGTGCACAGCATGTACGAAAAAGGAGTATGAAAAGAAGTCAGTTAAGTTCGGAACGGAAGTATAACACGTACATGATTTGCGGACATTGTAGATGAATCTGATACACATACTCTGTAAACGCTCCAGAAAGCAGAAAAGTTTGTGCCAAGATGATTTGATATGATTAGGTAATAGGTAATATATTAAAACACTTATCTAAAGAGGCTGGCAAAGCTGTCGTCGACATCCTTTCCTGAGGCAAAGCCAACGTAATGAAGGGATACCAGCCTCATTAGCTTGGTGAAGATAAAATTATTATAATGAACCTACTATGAGATGCAATTTACACAAATAATTCTTCTTAAAGCGATCTTTCCAAAACAGAGGTTTGGTAGATTATTAACGGTGAATTAGAGCAATGAATTAATGGCGCATCGATAAGAAAGACAGCCAACACTGCCATCGTAAAATTGAAATTTGTAGGTAAATTAAAATCGAGATGCACTTTCTAAGGGTTAACAAAGATAATCATGGTTATAAATAATAATTTTAAATCTACTGAATTATAAAAATTGAGATCAATTTTCTGACTTATTAGTTGCCAGATTTTTACTACTGTCATAAAAGTGGATTGTGATTTTTTAAATTTATTTAGGACTAAATGATCAAGCGAATATCACGTTGTCTTATCTATGCTAATATTATGAAGAAGTGGAGTTTGTAAAATTATTTGTTTGTTTGTAGGGTATAATCTTCGGTAACTGATTTGATCATGGAAATTCTTTCACCTACACTAAGCTACATTATACGCGGGCGCTATAGGCTATCATTTACTCGGATGAAGTTTCGGGAAGACAGTTAGTAGCTCATAAACAAGCAAATGTAGACGAAAACGATATACTGAAAAGTCAAATCCAAAAATTACACTGAAAATTTACAAAGACTAGTTATAAAATAAATTATAATGTCGAGTGAAAATTATGAAGTTGGTTATTACTGAATTTTGTTTCTTTACATGATCAAATGGACTTTCATAAATTGGTTAATCGCTCGCACTCTAGTTTCGAGGTGTTGCCGTCTCTGAGGTTCAGGGTTCGATTTCCGATCGGGTCAATGTAGAAAAAGGACTTTTTTATATTATCTTGGGTTTGGGTGTTGTGGTGCCTTCGTTGTATCGGATACTGCATAATACGAGAGCTTTAGCTACTCATTTTGGATTCTAAGCAATGTATGTGATGTTAGCAAATATTTATTTTATGTATTAGTTATTTTTCTCAAACAATTACATTATTTTATCGCAAGCTATGAAATAAATCTTGTTTTAGTTAGAAGAAATAAAGCTTAATAAGAAAAATACGAAAGTTCGTAATTTTTCTATTTTAGCACAGCGCAATTTTTAACCATTTTCCATTAAGAAGTCTATAGAGATTTTGAATATTTTCTCCTGTAATCAAACAGCTATTTTTTTGTTTCAAAAGAATTATTTTGGACATACGACGTATACTGGCGATTTTCGACTATATCCTTTAATAAGCTCAATTTTTTTGGTTAGCTTACGATTTGAAGAGATTTGAAATTCTTTATGTTCGTGTAGCCAATTACAACGTAAAAGAAGAACAAAACAAAAGCGCCCTATACAAATCACGTTTTTCCATTTGAGTTAAAGAACCCTAAAGAAATTACAACATTTTTTTCCCATTTGTTAGATACAAATAATGTACTTAATAAATGGTGTAGTTAATGTCTCTTTGTTATCATAAATAGACATAATGACTTTCATTATATTAGTAGTGAATTTGAAGTAAGTAACTTAATGATACTTAAGCAAACAATATAATCGATTAGGCACTTCGAACTCGGTACAAATTATTATAATATTAGACCAAATAACAAACTTTACGTTACTTTTACCATCATCTATTACCAATATCTAATTGTTATGAAATTATGTAGATGAAAATTTTATGCCTTTTTTTATTTCAATCATAGATTCATGCGTTCACAACTCTGTATCGATGTATTGATATATATCTTTAAAGAAAACCCTTATAAAATTTACCAGTTCCATGTACCACAAGGTGGGAGTCGTGTTACCTGGGACTTAGTGATTTTTTTTTCTATAATTTGCTATATCTAGAGATATTTAAGAAGATATCGGTTTTATTAGATCTCCGTGATCATTTGGCTCATACACCGTTTTCATATTGTCTCCATATGTGACATATGTCTACATATGAACCTATGTGATTTCAAATGTTAATTTGTATTATTCTTAGATTGACAAAATAAAAAGTCTGGTAGAGATCGCTGTTAGCGATAAGATTGCTGATTATTGCACTATATTGTTAATGTTATGTTTATGTAGTGATGTTTATTTGTTGTAAATCTGAGATTATGTAGAGTACTTAGAAGTATACTGCAAGAATGTGGTTTATCTATTAAGGTTGTGGGCATGGCCATCGTGTCCATAACAGTGGATTCTTCCTTATACATATGTTATGCTCGTGCAACGTAACACACATATATATACGTTATAAATATTACGAGTATAAATGAAATAACTTATTTTAGTCTCACAAAAATTCGAGAAAAACTGCATAATTCTGGATTTATTACTAAGAAAAATAATATCAGATAGTATACAAAAAGGCAACTTTATTGCTATACTATACTAACTCTTCCAGGCAACTAATGGTGATACAAAAAAAAATTGATATCTACATAATAATGATGACAGGAGTGTAATAGCGGCAGGAATATTAAATAAATAGGTATACCTTAAGAGGAAAATATATATGTTACGAAAGAGAAGTTAAAAGTTAGAAAGAAAGTAGTTCTTCATTTATAAGTTTTAAAAAGTAAAAAAAATAAATAAAGAAATTGCAAAGAAAGTAGTAAACTAAAATAATTTCATTTACCTTTATAAGCTGTATCTGCCACACACATCGTTCATTCTTAGGCGTTGCGAAGTTCGCCGGACTAGTTAGCATTTGATTTTCTTTTGTATCCAATGCAGTAACGTGGAGATTGTTTGATTAAATGTTTCAAATTTTGAAGTAATACGGCGGCCATCTTGTAAAGCGCGTCGTCTAGACTGCCCCTTTAGCCCGCAGTTTTGGAATCCGACACCGGAACATCAGTAATGGGTGGCGCTTGTCGAAAGTAACGCTACACCGAGTGTACCGTCTCTATCCAATTACAAAATAGCTTCATATTTATTATAATGTTTTTGATTTTACGTCTTGAAAATACATAGGTTATATATTCTACTATTATAAAGAGGGAAGGTCTGTTTGTCTGTTTTTATTGAATAGGCTCCGATAATACTGGACCGATTTTAAAATTCTTTCACCTAC